TTTTTTTTCCCCCCCCCTTTCTGATGAGCTTAGTATTTTATTTTCCAAGACAGAAGAACAGCACACAAGAGCCCTGGCTCTGCCCTCTGCCAGAGGATCTGAACCATCCAGCAACTCCCCTGTTGGCCCCACATGTTCTCCAGGGCCCCAGCTCTCCTACCTTGTGAGTGCTAACACAGTGATTGCCTAACAGTGTTTTACAGAAGTGATATTACTGATATTCTGAACATACACAAATGAGACTGTGGTTCTGGCTCCCTTACATCTGGCTCTTTCATCCACATGAAATTGTCTACAATACTGTAATAAGTATTTAAGTGTTGGTCTGAACATATTACCTCAGCTCCAAGAACTGTACCTGTGATTTTCCATACTTCAGTGTCAGCTCCTCATAAAATATCATAGTGTTTACTCCTTTTCTTTGCATGAGCCAAGTGATATTGCACTGAAGTTACTGTCCTGCATTGTAAAGCTGCAGGCACATCTATCTTGGGAACATGCCTTCATGATTTACATAATGAAAAGAAAGGGATTTTGGTTTCTCAAATCTCCTGACTCATGCCCTGCCTAATAAGGTTCTTGTTTGCCTAGCATTGCTCTGGTTTATGTGATGCTGAAATTGCAGTGAAATGAGGAGCACAATGAGAGCAGCTAGTGCAAAAGCTTAAATTCAGGAAAAAACATTGACATAGACATTTTCTTTTACTGTTAGTTTGTTTTCAAAGTACAGAATTAAAGACCTAAAACATAGTATCACCTGATGTGTGGACAGAAACAGAATTCAAGATGCATATACCTGACATTTGAGGTATGTAAATCTGGCTCCTAGCTGTCAGGTGTTCAAGGTGTGAGAGGGAATAAGTGCTCAGAAGGATAAACATGGACTAAACCAGCAATTTTGAAATGCCTTTTTCTCAAAATGAGGTGGGGGGGAGGGGGCAAGCTGAGCAGGTAGAAGAGGCAGCTTCCCCAGGGAGAGCATGAAGGAGAGATAACTGGCAAAATTCCCACCGGAGCCTCTTTGTTTCTGTTGCCAGTAGTTATCAGCCACCTGCAAAAGGTAAAAAAAGAGAGCACCTTTTCCCCTAATCCAAAAGCCTGCATGTAAGGACAATCGAGCTCTACCGCCTTGGAAACGATGCGATAAGAAGGGCTTATCCAGGACAGGCGATACAATGGCGGGGATCATTCTTATTTCTGTTCTCATCTTCTGGGCAGCCACATGGCAGGGAAAGGGAAATGAAATTACAGGTGAGTGATGCAAACCTGGTCAGAGGACCATGACTGTTATGTAGGACAGCTTAGTTTGGATGTGGGCTACTTCTTTATTTGAAATAAACTGTCCAAGGGGGCCGCTCTCTGGAGAACTGGCAATGTCTCAGTGACCATTTAAGAATCCCGTGTTGATAATTAAACAAAGAAAATCTAACCAAGCCAAAATACAACCTTTGGCCCTAACGCTTCATCCCCAGGCAAAAGCCTTGTCATTTCCTTTGTGCCAGAAATGAATGAGTAGGATCGCTGCTTTGTGTTCAGTAATGTGCAAATTTTTTATGAAAATTGTCTTTAAAATATACTTTGGGAGGAAATTATGTAGTAAGGTACCTGGCAAATTCCTAGAGATGCATAAAATAAAGCTGTAGAAGACATGTTTAACTTTCATCTATGGTATGGGCTGTAATTTTGAAAAACCTAACACAATTGCTAGGTTGTAACTCCTAAATTAAATCCCAATTTGCTCTTAATTTCTGGTTTGATTTATTTAGATGAGAAAAGATCATGATTTTTGGCTGCTTTTTGTTGCATTTTTTTACTTAAGTGGTTTTGCAAGTCTCAGTTAAAATACAAGCTGCATTTCTTAAAGCCTTGCAGACTTTTCTGTTATTCTGTCAAAGTCACAGCTGAAAAAGAGGTTTCTACAGATTGAGGGACAGCAGAACCCCCATTCTAGTGCCATTTAAAGTCACTGGTGTTGACTTTAAAAAGAATTTGGAACACCCAGAAAAATTGAGCCATTAATCCATTTTTCTTCATGTTTTGGAGCCTTTGCGTTTTAAAGCTGAGTTTGAACCTGCTCTCCATGAAGCTGTTCCAAAGGATTACTTTTAAGGTTACATCAAGACAAGAAAGGGGCTTGTCTTTGGCTCTTGCTGTTCTCCAGTGAGAAAAGATTTTGCAGATCCCAGCTCACAATGGCTTTTCTGGCGCCTGAGTAGTGAAGTTTCCAGAATTGCAGCTAAGTCTGTGGCATAAATGCTATCAAGCATTTTTACTGCTGATTTTTTGATCATGCTCGCAGTTCTGATCTGGGTTTGACCTTGAGTTATAAGCAGCCTGCTCCTATGCAGACTTTACTTTCAGCCTTTCCTCTCATGTTTGTTTATATTAATAAAGTATTTGCTTTGATTGTTTCTGCTCTTGCTTAACATAATAAAATTTATACTTTCCCTGACAGTGCTGAAAGCTGGTGGTTGCTAAGATAAAAACCTAAAGTCCAGAGTTGATATGCGTAATGTAGCCCTGCTGATGTCAGGTGACTGCCTTCTCCTGCTTTGCGATTGACTTCAGCTTTGTGTTGCTGGAAACAACAGCCAGTGCATTTTAATTCCTTTTGATAGTGCCATAATCCCATAGATGGGGGTAATGAGAACAGAAAGCCAATTTGCTAAAGAGCCCAAATTGATC